TGGGGAAAGGATTATCCTCCCTAAATGAAGCAATTGCAACTATTCATGTTGAAGAGAGCAGGAGAGGAGTTATGTTGGATTCGCAGCCATTGGAAGATCGGCACTCCTTACAACCGCTGCTAGTGAGCGAACTTTGGAGAAGAAGTCTTCAGCTACTACTAATTATAAGAAATCTGACCCGAAGAGGACATTCAAAGAGAATCTGGTATGTAACTATTGCAAGAAAACTGGTCATACGAAGGACACCTGCTATAAGCTACATGGAAGGCCACAAAACATGAATCAGTCAAACTGGAATTCCGGAGGAAGAAGCTGGCAGCAAAAGGGAAAAGCCCACGTTGCACAAAATAGCACTAATAATACCAGTGATCAACCGAATTCCAGCAGCAAAGAATTCTGTAAGGAAGACATTGATCGCCTCCGATCCCTTCTTAATTCACTCGAAGAACCTACAGGTGCCTGTTCATTAGCACTTTCTGGTATGTATTCTGGTTCTCATGCTCTTAGTGTCTCAGATAATGTTTTAATCCACCCACACTCTTGGATTGTCGACTCAGGCGCAACCGACCATATGACTAACTCATCCCAATCTTTTTCTTCTTATAAACCATGCCCTAGTAATAAAAAGATCACCATAGCTAATGGGAATTTAGTCACTATTGCAAGACAGGGGGACATATCCTTATGACCTTCCTTGTGTCTTAAAAATGTTTTACATGTGCCCAAATTGACAACCAATCTTTTATCTGTCAAACAAATCACCAAGGATATGAATTGCAATCTTATTTTCTCAAAAAATTCATGTGTGTTTCAGGACAGAGCTTCGGGGAAGACGATTGGGCATGCTAAAAAAAAGGATGGTCTCTACTGTCTCGAGCCCATGAGTTGAAAAGTAAGTATTGGAATTGGTTGTTCATCTGTGCTTCTGTCTGATTCCTCCACAAATAAAGACAAAATTCTCCTTCATCATTTTCAACTTGGTCATCCTTCCTTCAGAACTCTTAGTCTTTTATTTCCTTCTTTGTTTAAAAATGTTGATTTGAAACAACTTCATTGTGATATTTGTGAAATTGCCAAACACAAACGTGTTTCCTTCCCTTTGAGCAATAATAAATCATCAGTTCCTTTTTATTTGATGCACAGTGATGTTTGGGGTCCTTCACGGGTTGCTAATTATTCTGGGGCACGTTGGTTTGTCATTTTTATAGATGATTGTACGCGAGTAACTTGGACTTTTCTCATGAAGCAAAAATCTGATGTAGCCAATATCTTTCCAATATTTCATAACATGATAAAAACTCAATTTGGGGTGAAAATTAAAAGGGTGAGGACAGACAACGGGAGAGAATATTTTAACCAAATTCTTTCACCATATTTGAATCAGGAGGGAATAGTTCATGAGTCCTCATGCATTGACACACCCCAACAAAATGGGGTGGCCGAAAGAAAGAATGGACATCTTCTTGAAACTACCCGTGCTCTTCTTTTTCAAAGACAAGTTCCAAAATATTTTTGGGGGGAAGCCGTTCTCACAGCCACTCATCTCATCAACCAATTACCTACCAAAGTCTTAGATTTTAGAAGTCCTTGGGAAACACTTTCACATCATTTTCTAGACTTCCTTACTCCAAACAGGTTGTCTCCTCGGGTATTTAGGTGTATTGTCTTTACTCATGTTCATGCTCACAATCGAAGCAAACTTGATCCCCGAGCACTTAAATGTATTTTTATAGGTTACTCTTCAACTCAAAAAGGTTACAAATGTTACCATCCGCCTACTCGGAAAACCTACATTTCAATTGATGTCACATTTGTTGAACATGAGAGTTTCTTTCATCATCCTTCTCCTCAGGGGGAGGTAACAAGTGATGAAAAGGATGATGATGCAGATGTCCTCGATTTCGATCTTATGCCCAAATTGTCACCACCATCTTTGAGTCCAAGTTCTGCAACCGCTCCTGCCTCGGTTTCCTTTGGTTCCCCTCTTACCGCAGCTTCTCCAAGTTCGGATCACATTCATTCCCAGGTTTCACTACCTACTTCCGATCCCAGTTCTGATATTCCTCCGCTTCAAAATCCAAGTGTGACATGTCTTGAATCTCAACCACAATCTCTTCCTAAAAATCCAACTCCATCAATCAATCCAGTAGTCACTAAACCACTTCCAAGTTTTTTCAAGAAGGAAGGGAGGCAAGACTAATCCGAAGCAAGCCCAAAAGTCAGAACCTATGCTTGGGAAAGAAACCACTCAGGAGAAAAACACTACTCAGGTAAACAATTCCATTCTTGTGTTTGATGAGATTGATTTAGAACTACCCATTGCAGTTCGAAAAGGTACCCGAAGGTGTACACAACATCCACTCTCTCATTTTGTTTCCTTTGAAAAATTATCTCCCTCACATAGAGCCTTCCTTACTCAGCTAAACTCAATAGCCGTTCCTAAAACATTGTCTGAGGCATTAAACAGCAGGGAATGGAAGCAGGCCATGAAAGTTGAGATGGACGCACTGGAAAAGAACAAGACTTGGGAGATGGTCGAATTACCGAAGGGAAAAAAAACTGTGGGATGCAAATGGGTGTTTTCAGTAAAATTCAATGCAGATGGATCTCTTGAAAGGTACAAGGCAAGGCTAGTAGCAAAAGGATATACCCAGACCTTTGGTGTTGATTATCAAGAAACTTTTGCCCCAGTGGCAAAAATGAACACAATAAGAATTTTATTGTCTCTGGCTGCTAACTTTGATTAGACTTTGCAGCAGTTTGATGTAAAAAATGCATTTCTGCATGGAGATCTTGAAGAAGAAATATATATGGAAGTTCCTCCAGGATTTAGTTTTCCAAAGAAGAATAGGGTATGCAGACTAAGGAAAGCACTGTACGGACTGAAGCAATCCCCCAGGGCTTGGTTTGGCAGGTTTGCAAGAGCAATGTCAGCAATGGGTTACAAACAAAGTCAAGGTGATCATACTTTGTTCACAAAACACTCTTCTTCAAGGGGAGTTACAGTCCTCATTGTATACGTAGATGATATTACTGTCACTGGCAATGATCAAGCTGAAAGGGAAACTCTTAAAGCTAAACTGGCCACGGAATTTGAAATAAAAGACCTAGGCAAGCTGAAATACTTCCTGGGAATTGAAGTTGCTCGCTCCAAAGAAGGAATTTTCGTCTCACAACAAAAGTATGTTATTGATTTACTGAAAGAAACAGGAAAGATAAGCTGTAAGCCCGTGAAGACTCTCATTGAACCGAATCATAAGCTTGGAAAAACTGTTGATGATGAGCCAGTTGACAAAGGAATGTATCAAAGACTTGTTGGAAGATTAATCTACTTGTCTCACACCAGGCCTAACATCGCCTATGCAGTTAGTGTAGTGAGCCAATTTATGCACAACCCAAAGGAAGTACATCTCCAAGCAGTATACATAATCCTGCAATATCTAAAATCTAGTCCAGGTCGAGGCATATTGTTCAAGAGAGGATTGTGCTTGAACTTAGAAGTTTACACAGACTCAGACTATGCAAGTTCAGTGTCAGATAGAAGATCAACCTCGGGTTATTGTGCCTTCCTAGGTGGGAATCTTGTTACATGGAGGAGCAAAAAGCAGCCAGTAGTTGCAAGGTCAAGTGCAGAAGCTGAATTTCGTGCCATGGCTTTAGGAATATGTGAATTATTATGGTTGAAAATAGTCCTGAAGGATCTTAGAGTTTCAGTTGAGAGGCCGATGAAGTTATATTGTGATAACAAGTCAGCCATCAATATTGCACATAATCCAGTGCAACATGACCGCACCAAGCATGTGGAAGTTGATCGCCACTTCATAAAGGAAAAGCTCGATAATGGATTAATTTGCACTCCGTATGTCTCAACAAGAGGACAACTAGCTGATGTACGTTACCAAAGGGTTAGCCAGTCCTGCATTTCAAAGAATTGTCTGCAAGCTGGGGATGGGAGATATTTATTCCCCAGCTTGAGGGGGAGTGTTGGAGAATTACGTGATTTATGTAATTGTTAGATAAATTTGGAAAGTATTAACTGTCTGATTTTGTACTAATTACAGGCTAATATAGCTGGTGTATTAAAGTTTAGGTTGACTTATTTTATTTTCTGATCTTAGGGATTTGATTGTATATTCCTTAATTTACTGGATTCTGATCTGATTGTATTCAGCCTATAAAGGTCAGGTTGCTTTGTATTAGAAAGTCATGAAATATACTCCAGTTTTTCCCAATTTCTGTGTTAATTTCCATTCTCATGATTTCTTCTCCTATATAAAGAACTTCCACCATTGTATCGTGTATGAGTTGAGAGAGCATTATAAAAGTGATGCAGTCCTTTGGGCTCTTTGTGTCGTGGATGTAGGCCCTAGTGGCTGAACCACATAATATGTGTGCTCAAATTGTCATTTCGTCTGTTATAATAGTGATTACTAGAACTTGGATAGTTTTGCAAAATTTAAATCATATGTGATATCTGTTGGCTTTGCTCTTATACCACTTTGTTGGAAATAAGTGGCATATACACACACAAACACTCAATAATTTCGAAGAGAAGTGGATAGAGGAACACTTCGAAATATATTTTATTCCACTTCTCTACTATTCCATCTTATTCACTTATAAAATAGGTACAGTACATGAGTTTATATAGGCTTCTAAGACATATGTAACCAATCACATTTAAATGCCCAATAACTCCCACTAGCATAACCTTTAGTAGGCTTACCTCCCACTACTCCCACTAACATGGTATTTAGTAATCTAAACTCTCATGCCTTGTGGTTTTACAAAACCTTCACTATCACGCTAAATCCCACGAAGACAATTTACTACCACTAACACGATAAATGCACACATGCATCATGGATACGAAAATACTTGGAAGGACTAAATACTATAATCAAGTTTATTTTCCAACAATATCCGGTTAGATTTATTTTATTTTATTTATTATTTATTTTTATTTTTTCAGAAAGGGAAAATAAGTTATAAGTGCTTACCGATACTTAAAGACATCAATGCCTTCTTTAACCCACCAGAAAAATTCATAGCATCAAATGCAGCAGTAGAATCATCAATTGTATCCCCTGCCTTAAGAACTACCGAAGCAGACTCAGCTTCCTCTTGCTGAGGCCGTTGAAAACGTAGCTCCATCGAGAATTCAGTTTCATTGTGTATACTTAAAAAAGGAGAAACCACAATTGACAAACCATCCTACAAATATCAAAGAAAAAGAAAATCAAGGGAACCAAAAAAAGTGGGAATTCCTTCCCGAATCTCCAATTACTCACTATTCAAAAGAAGTAATTTGAGAAAATACCTCTGTGTCTCTAGAAATGTCAACCACAACAAATGGTCCTGGGTATGTTTTAGAATCTGCACAAGGATGAAAAATGGAAAAGGTCAAACCCAGGAAGAATTCAGTTTTGTCATATTATAGCATCATTGGTAATTTAGTGCCAAGTATGCCAAGTATGAAAATAGAAAACAAGAATCAGCAAAGGGATTGAGTAGCAAAAACCAAATCGCTAAAATCCAGTAACAGTTCCGTACACCTGGGGTATTAGATGGGTTAGATTGGCTACAGACCTAACCTCTAGTTTTGTCACAGTGATTGCCCTTAACGAGAATCACGTCCATACACTTGTCATCCTTTTCTTTTTTTTTTCCCCCTTTTTTTTTTTTTTTTTTTTTTTTTTTTTTTTCCTACATAAGATTTTTAGAGGCACAGTGCTAGGTAAAGTTCTTTTTAGGAGCTATCCTATTCATCCATTACAAACCATGTTTCTCTAGGGATGTCCAACGTTCTGTTTTAGAAGATACAATTTTTTTCTACCGTAACTGGAGACAAGAACAGAAGATTCACTTTTAGGTAACAAGCTCAAAGAAATACTCCCCCTACCCCTCCTCCACCTTTTCTATACAGAACAATAGAGGCAAGCTATACTAGAAGTTGACTATTTTAGGTATGAGTTGCCCATCAACATACTCTCTTGATCAGATCTTCTCGTGTTTCATTTTTTTTATACACCAAGGTCTGAATAAGTTTCAAAACCTCATTACACTAGATCTGTATTAGTGTATTCTGTCCACTATTGAAATCTATGCTTCTATTATCTCATTCTTTACAGCACTTAATAAACAACTAGCAAGTTATAAATACTTCCTTGGAATATATGTAGTCAAGTGCATTGTAAATAAGCTAAGAGAATATGAAGCCACTTAAATTCATTCCCCAAGTATTGTTTGACCATCCTTCTTGTGATGTGGTGGCCCATTTACTGTTTCAGCTCGAGTCGCATTGCGACCCGATTTCAACCAGAAAAGTGCTTTGGGGGTTCAGGGGGCAGTGGAAAAATCTTCACCTGTTTTTTTCTCTGCAGGTCATGGACCCTATTTAGTACTCTCTTGTAGCCCGATATATAAGGGTGCTCAGGGTTTGGAGTGGGACAACCCAAGACACTGAAAATCGCAGGAAAGAGAATGAGAGCGAGAGCTAGGGTTCGGAGGTTGAAACTTGTAATCTCCTATTTTTTCGCATAGTGAAATCTTTTACCAGATCATCACCATGGAAGTAGGGTTAGACTTAAGCTGAACCACGTAAATCTTTGTGTTCTTTGTGTGTGGCGTGTTAAATTTTTTGTCGCGATTCTTGTTTTGTTCTTGGTTCAATGCGATTGTCGTAACACTTCTACATGTTTATATTATAAGCTTTATCTAACCGACAAGTGACCTTATCAAAATATTTCCCATCTGATTCCAATCTCGGAAAAAATCTTGACCTCCAATAATTCTTTTTTAACAAGGACATCTAATCATTATGTTTTTAGAAGGATCACCACTCTAATAAAAATTTGGACAATATCTATAAAAATAAAAATATTTCACGTAGAGCCCATATTTCAGTAATGCCAAATTTTCAATTATATCAAAGTACAAAAAATAGTCCTCACTTTTAAGAGATTACATAATTTCCCCGTATAAATGCTTCAACAATTTGACTTTTGCAGATTTCTAACCATTTTTTAAAATCGTACATAAATATCTGAAATGTTTTGAAATTCAATAACTAATCAAAGCTATTTCTTCTTGTTGCACAGGGAAGATAGAGGCTAAACAGACCTTTTAATGATAAAATGCGTGTTCTCCAAGCAAGTGCTCCAGCATCTAACATAGAGAGATGAATTGGCAACGTTAAAGCGGCTCCTTGCCAAGCAAGCTTCATTGAGACTGAATACACCTCTGGAGGTTGATTCACCAAATTCAGGTGCCTAACAAAGTACAACCACGTGCTAATCAAAATTAACAAATACTAATCATATGCGCAAACATTTCTAATTAAAAATGCAGATGCACAAGTACAAAAATAATTGATATCAATAAAATCTCAATGAAAACATACTACCATACATATACTAGGTACAATCTTAATGCAAATATATGTTTTTTGGGTATGTGTGTGTTAGGGATAGGAGCTGTCTAAATGCATGGATAGATAGACATACTGTTAGAGAGGGAATTATTTGAGAACTATAAACAAGAACTGTAAGTCAACACAACCTTTACTTTTCCAACTACTTGGGATCAGCTAAGAAATCTTTTCACATTCCAAATTATCTAAAGATAAGTTTTTCTAATAGATGATAGGCAATCATGTTATTTCATACGTCCTCAACCACTGCCAAGATTTGCCTACTGATCCAGTAAAGTGTCGAAGATGATGAAAAGGAATTGTTCAAGATTTGTTGAAGCCTGAAATCTTAGAAGGGGAAAATTTTTTGAAGGGTCATAAACCAAGCAAATCTTATGCTCTCAGAAAAGCATAATAGTCAAAAGGCAAATTTCATTTATAGTAAAAAAGAATCCCCTTAAATTACCACCAATAGTTTTCTTTATAGAAAGCGAAGACCTGAAAACCTTGGTTAAAGTTCATATTGGCCCGAGAGTAAATCTAATCCCAGTTGTCCACACAAACTTCGAGTCCAAAATATTATGGAACTGAAATAGTGGACAAACACTTGATTTATTATTTTTTGTAAAAAGTGTGCACAGTTGTCTGGACAAACGGCTGTTGAAAATTGAGCTTGAATCGGGTTGATTCATCACCGCTGAAGAAGCTTGGGGAAGAGTTCTTATAGACGGCTAATGAAGATTGATCTCGAAGGGCTGTTTGGTGATCCTTTGAACTTGTTGGAGCACTGGAGACTTGAAGACAAATGAACTACAGATATGTGTGGAGATTGAACCTTCAATCTTGTGAACTTGGAGAAAGTTTCAGTGATTTCTTAGATTTCTAATTTGTTGTCTTTCTTCACCCATGAGCCTCTATTTACAGATTCAATGGAGAGGTAGAGCCCTAATGTTTAAGAGAACCATTGATTTGAAGATCCACTAAAATTTTGAAGTGTCATTTGTGATAATTATCCACATAGATATGTGTCACCTGTCGTAATTATCCATTCTAACATATATTACTCGTAATAGGCGATTTCAAGATTGAAAAGAATCTGTATATTGCCGTACTTTGAATGGCTTACAATGCTTTAGTTAAATAGGAAATACAAGGGGCTAAAAAAAGGAAACTACAGGCTCACTACAGGCTGTAACAGCAACCTACAGGCTATAATTACAAGCTGTACACTAACAGAAGCTACAGGCTGTACACTAACAGAATTTCCTAATATTAGTCATTGACTATCTATATTTACACGCCTATCATATCCCCTAAAATCTGGTCTTATTAAAACCGAATATCTCTTTTTTAACACTCCCCCTCAAGCTGGCTTGTAGATGTCTTCCATAGCTAGCTTGCTTCTTAAAACTTCAAACTGTCTCTTGTATAGTCCTTTGGTAAGGATGTCTGCAGCTTGTTCAGTAGTAGAGACATAAGGAATGCAAATCATACCACAGTCAAGCTTTTCCTTGATAAAGTGTTTGTCAACTTCCACATGTTTGGTTCTGTCGTGGAGGATTGGATTATGAGCAATTGAAATGGCAGCCTTGTTGTCACAGTAGACTCTCATTGGAGGAGAAACAGTAACCTTCAAATCTTCAAGGAGTCTTTTTAACCACATAGCTTCGCAAATCCCATGGGCGAGTGCTCTGAACTCGGCTTCTGCACTACTCCTCGCTACTACATTTTGTTTCTTGCTTCGCCACGTGACTAAGTTTCCTCCAACGAAGGTGCAATATCCTGAGGTAGATCATCTATCAACTATACTTCCTGCCCAATCAGCATCTGTGTACACCTCCACTTGCAAATGACCTTGTTTCTTGAACATAAATCCTTTACTTGGTGAGCCCTTTAAGTACCTCAGAATCCTATACACTACTTCAAAGTGTTCCTGTCCAGAAGAGTGCATGAACTGACTCACCATACTGGCTGCAAATGCTATATCTGGGCGTGTGTGAGATAAGTAAATTAGTCTTCCCACCAATCTCTGATATCTTTCACGATCAACCATATTCTCGGGTTCGGCAGCTTCTTACTTCAGGTTGACTTCAATTGGAGTGTCAGCAGCTTTACACCCGAGTAGTCCTGTCTTATTAAGCAAATCAAGTACATATTTTCGTTGATTCACGAAAATTCCTTCTCTTGACCTGGCAAATTCCATTCCAAGGAAGTATTATAATGCTCCCAAATCTTTGACTTCAAAATCTTTAGCAAGTTTCTTCTTCAGTCTAGTCAACTCTTCAATGTCATCACCTGTCAAAATTATATCATCCACATACACAATTAAAACGGCAATTTTCCCTTCCTCACCGTGTTTGTAGAACATGGTATTGTCTGCCTGACTCTGATGATACCCATGACCCTTCATAGCCTTTCCAAAGCGTTCAAACCACGCTCTTGGAAATTGTTTCAAACCGTACAGGGATTTTTTGAGTTTATAGACTTTGCTCTGACCGTGTTTTCCTTCGAACCCAGGTGGCAAGCTCATAAACACTTCTTCTTCTAAATCTCCATTTAAAAAGGCATTTTTTATGTCCAACTGATGTAATGGCCAGTTAGAATTGACTGCCAACGACAATAAGACTCGGATATAATTTCTTTTTGCTACAGGAGCAAACGTCTCTTAGTAATCAATGCCGTACGTTTGCGTAAAACCTTTCGCCACAAGTCTTGCCTTATACCTTTCCACACCACCATCAGCTTTACACTTAATAGTGAAAACCCATTTACACCCAACAGTTTTCTTTCCTTTGGGCAAGTCAACTATCTCCCACGTTCCACTCCTTTTAAGAGCATTCATCTCCTCTAACACTGCTGATTTCTAATTCGGATCATCTAGTGCTTCCTGAATGTTTCTTGGAACAAACAAGTGAGAAATATTTGAAGTAAAGGCCCTATGTTTATGGGAAAGTTTATCATAAGACAAGTATTTGGCAATAGGATGCTGGGTACAGGTTCGGATTCGTTTTCTAAAAGCTATAGGGATATCAAGGTCTACAGGAACTTGGCTAGGTGACTCTGTACGATCAGAAATAGTAGGGACAACTGTAGACAAGTTAGGATTTAGAGTACCTTGAGTGTTCAGGGAGTCATTGCTCGGGACCTCTGATTGGCCTTGCTCAGGTACAATAGTAGGCTCTCTACTCTTTTGATGAGTCTTTTTACTGTTATAAACCAGAAGCTCAGGATTCGGTTTTTTTGGAACTGTTGGTAGGATTTCTCCCCCTGTTGGAGATACAGTAAGGCTCGGTAGATTAGTACTAGGAGGCCCCGGGTTTCCTGATTCTAGAACATCATTTCCCTGTTTAAAAAGATCAATGTTTGGAGTAATAGAGTGTGAGACAATAGTTTTAGGTAAGGGAATATTAGTAGAAATCTCCCAAAAAATTTCTTCACACTCTTTCTCCCCCTGAAGAAAAGTTTTCTGAAAATAAGGATGATTTTCTAGAAAAAAAGACATCCATACTGATAAACATTTTTTTTGTTTTCGGATTGAAGCATCTGTACCCCTTTTTATTCTGGGCATACCCAACAAATACACAATTTTCAGCCCGAGGATCCAATTTAGACTGAAGTCTACTAGGTAAATGGACAAAGACAGTGCACCCAAATACTTTCAAAGGCAGGTTGGAATAAATCCGAGTTTCAGGAAAAGATTTTGTAAGGCTTTCAAGGGGTGTAAAATAGTTAAGAACACGAGTAGGCATCCAGTTAATCAAATATGTTGCTGTTAAAACGGCTTCACCCCACAAATACTTAGGAACATTCATTGCAAATATGATGGCACGAGAAACTTCAAGTAAATGTTTATTCTTTCTTTCAGCAATTCTGTTTTGTTGGGGCGTGTCAACACAAGTGGATTGGTGAAAAATTCCTTTTTTCTGTTAAAAAACTTCCTAAAACTTCATTAAAGTATTCGGTGCCGTTATCAGTATGAAGAATGCCAATTTTTGTTTGAAATTGATTTTCAATCGTCATATAAAAATCCTTGAATAATTTTTCAACCTCTGATTTTTCATTCATTAAATGCGCCCAACACAAACGTGTATGATCATCAATAAAAGTCACAAACCATTTTTTTCCAGAAAGAGTTATGATCCTAGAAGGGCCCCAAACATTGCTATGGAATAAATAAAATGGTTTTGATGTTTGGTAAGGTTTGGGAGAATACGTAGTACGATGACTCTTTGATAAAAAACAATTCTCACAATAAAAAGATGAACAATCCAAACCTTTAAACAAAGTAGGAAATAATCTTTTAAGATAAGAGAAACTAGGATGCCCTAGTCTAAAATGCCATAGCATTATTTGTTCTCTAACAGGGATAGAATGAAAACTATTCAGACCTTGAGCCTTTTTATTACTTGAAATATCATCTTCAAAATAGTAGAGACCATCTATCATCTTAGCACTGCCAATTGTCTTCCCCAAGCTCTGTTCCTGAAATTCACAATAGGATTCAAAAAAGATAACACGACAATTAGAGTCTTTGGACAATTTACTAACTAATAAAAGGTTACAAGCAAGCTTAGGGACATGAAGAACAGACTTAACCTCAATAATTTTTGAAAGTTTTACCAAACCTTTGCCTGCAATAAGAGAATAAGAACCATCGGCTATTCTGATTTTTTCAGAGCCAGAACAGGGTGAATAAGTTTGAAATAAATGAGAAAAACTTGTCATATGGTCAGAAGCCCCTGAATCAATGATCCGTGGGGTAACATTGGAATTTGAACAACAAGATAAAGCCTTCGAGTTGTTACCAGTTTGAGTAAGAGAAGCATTAGGAGTACCAGATGAGGAATTGAATTTCAGCAATTTTAGAAGATGATCCATCTGTTCTTTGCTGAAGGGAAGTGCCTCGGCTTCATGAGCTGATGGGGCTCGATTGAATCTACCTTCTTGGTTGAATCTACCTTCTTGCTTACTCTTCCAATTCGCTGGTTTACCATGAATTTTCCAGCAGGTTTCACGGGTATGGCGAGGCTTGTTGCAGTGGTCACACCAAAGACAGGGCTTTTCATTATGTTTCCTGCCAATATTCGCTTCAGATGCGACCAGGGCCGAGGTCTCAACAGCACCATTTGATAACTTTTTTCCAAGCATGACCAGCCTGCGACTTTCCTCTCTTCGAACCTCGGAGAAGACTTCACCGATTAAAGGTAGGGGCTGTCGTCCAATTATTCTGCCTCTCACTTCATCAAACTCGACATTGAGTCCAATGAGAAACTTGAAGATGTGGTTGTCTTCCACCTTCTTTTTGTAATGGTTGCAATCTTTAGGCGATTTCTCCTCATAATCGCTAAACAAATCAAGGTCCTGCCACAAACGTTTTAGAGAGTTGAAATATTTTGTAACAGTGTTATCTCCTTGACGGATCTCTCCGAGTTTCAGCGTTAGTTCATAGACTTGAGACTGATTTCCTAGGTCTGAATACATCTGGTTGACATTGTCCCAGAGTTCTTTTGCTATGTGGTAACACATATAATTAGAACTAATGTCCTCCTCCATAGAATTCACCAACCAGGTCATCACCATCGAATTCTCTGCATCCCAGGTCGAGTAGGATGGATCTTCAGGTTTCGGTTCCTTCTTTTCTCCTGTCAGGTAGCCGATTTTGCCTCTGCCTCGGATGTACAACCGCACGGACTGGGACCAGCGAAGGAAGTTTTCACCATTTAGCCGAATTGTGGTAATCTGGACCGAGTGTGTCTGAGAGTTTTGGACTTGGGACTCAAAAGTCTTGGTCTTGGACTCAGGTACGTTATCATACATGGTGATTAGGGTTGTTTGGAGAAGAGAAAAAAAAAAAAAAAAAATGCTTTAGCTTTTTTTTTTTTTTTTTTTTTCCAGAAGAATCGGTAAGATGCTCTGATACCATACTTTGAATGGTTTAAAATGCTTTAGTTAAATCAGAAATACAAGGGGCTAAAAAAAAGAAACTACAGGCTGACTACAAGCTGTAACAGCAACCTACAGGCTGTACACTAACAGAAGCTACAGGCTGTACACTAACAGAAGCTAATAGAATTTCCTAATCTTAGTCATTGACTATCTATATTTACACGCCTATCATATCCCCTAAAATCTGGTCTTATTAAAATCGAATATCTCTTTTTCAACACTCGTGATACTTATTTATGTTAAGATATAACTTACAATGATTTAACCATTAGGATTATCCATTTAATTGACCCATTTTCAAGTGGGTGTAAGCTTGTTGGGTAATTTGATTTGACCCATATTGCATGGTGGGTCAAATTACTATTGACGCCTAGTGAATTTTTGACTGACCAATCAAAGAAGAATTTTGATTATTTAATCGATCCAATGGTGATTAAATCACCATATAAATTTTATTATCTACACTAACCATATGTTTCTAGCATAACTAAATAGGAAAGACAAAAATGCACTTTATTAGTATAGTTATAGTGGCAAGAAAAAGTATGCACATTACCTCCTAATATTCTAGTGAATAATATTTCTATTGTGACCGCTAAAGTGCTCATGAACAGTGCTGCACATTCACCTGAATAAGTCTTAATTGCAACTTTGTGGGAGAGAGGGTGCTGTAAGGTTTCTCCCCCTTGTGATATTTATAGTTTAGTGCATAAAACAATGAGATTATAATAACTCACACTATTAATGACATTTATAATCCAACATTACAAAAATTGTATTAAGCAATTTCTATTAAAATCATTGAGGATCGATGTATTTAAGAGGGTGGTACCTTAATATAATGGTACTTGACTGTTTTCTGGCAATTGTTGCTTCTCGATTGTCATAAAAGTGACAAACAAGATTTAAGCCGGAATGATTTTCCACCTGCCACATGACACTATTAATTAACAATACATTTGAAGGTGCCAAGTCACAATTCAGTCTTAGAAATTCAGAAAGGATAAGTGTGAGTGCGCGCGCAAGGGAGAGAGAGAGAGAAGAATCAATATTATTAACTGCCAAAAATCTCCAACTATAAGACTACCGGTTGAGATCTGATATAAATAGAAACAATAACAACATCAACATCTGCAGAAGTGAATAGAAAGTTCCTACTCAGTATATATTTTTTGTTCTTTAGAGATATCTCTCATATTGGTCCTGAAGAGCCCTCCTTTGTTCTTTTTATAACTGAAACCAGTACACACTAAGAAGAAAAATGGAAATATCTCTACTATTGGTCCTGAAAAGCCCCCTTCTATCCTCTATTTTATTGATAAATGAAACCAGTACACACTAAGAATAGAAATGAAATTTGAGGATTCTAAGATCATTGCCAACCCAAATTCCAATGTTTGTTCATATTTTCAAATCAAATTATTATGAGAAATAATCTAAGAAGAACTTAAAACAAAGGGAAAACAAATGAGTACAAAAAAAAAAAAAAGAAAAGAAAAGAAAAAAAGAGAATGGAAACAGCAGTTTAAACAAGAAACATATAATCAGTAGATAAAATATGTACTGATATTTTTTGTTAATACTTTAATTACAGTTCTTGAAAGCAAAGTTTCAGCAACAGTTTTATGGAGAAATTATCAAAGTAGGACAAACCAAATTCCAAAGAAGCTGTGATCAAGGCCTGTTAAGAATATGCAGCTATTTCAGATTGTGGCAGTGTTTGTGTCAATTTAAAACCAACACACCCAGGCTCTGTTCTTTCTTAAGTCAAAAAAAATCCTGGCCATGTTAGTTTCTGGTTGGGGCAGATCATCTTACATCGAATCCTCCATTATTTAGTACTCCCTCCGTCCCAAAATAGATGTCCATCTTGGTAACTGTGACTCTGTGAGTGTATCATTTATAGAATTGTGAACCATAAACCAGCAAAAAGAACTAATACTGTAGGTAAATACACTTCATCAAAAGGAAAACAAGTTGTTGCAGTGGGAAAAGCATATTCTAGAAAAAGGGAATTATCCAGTGTATGCGGTACATATGTTTAAGAGGGGAAAATTGGAGATAATTTTTTTTTTTCTTTTTTGATAAGTGATGATTTCATAAAAGCGCATCCCACTTACAAAAGTAAAAGGCCAAAAGCACAAACTCACGTTCTCATGCTTGTCAAACAGAGCTATTACTACACTCAAAACAACACAAACATATACTCAAAACAACCACAAGCATCAGCACAAACACATGCACACACACACATGCATATGGAGATAGAACCACAAACTCACAAACTCAACTAGAGGCTGACACAAGCGTTTCAGATGAATCAATTACATAAAAAGGTACAAAACCTTGCAGCAATTGGCCAAAATCATGGAGCTTTTGATTGCATATGGACCCGCCAGATTCAATTTTCCAATCACAAACAGAAGTATGTCCAACGAAAGCTCTGTTATTGATATCCCCAACTGCCAATTTGCACAGAATGAATTGATGAAAAGCACTGTAAAATACTTAAATGACAGTAAATTGATTTCTCATGATACTAACCTCTTTAATTCTAGCATAAAAATGAACAGGCACCCCATGCAAAGAAGTTTCTGAATCTTGAACTTGGAACTTGGAGCGATAGAAAACAATTACTTCAACGGGGTGAACTAATTCTCTCCTTCAATTTCATAAACAAAAGGATATACAATGAAAATATATGGAAAATCATATCTGTTGCAGCTAAATTTCAAAGAGAAGGGAAGGGAACGTCAAAAACTGGATTTATGATTTTCTATCACAGACACTTACCATAAATTGTGTCGGGAATCAAAGTAAGTTAGCATAATCTTTAATGTGCACATCATCCTGGCTTTAGCAAATAGAATTTGCACAATGAATTCATCAGCACTGATAGATCCCTGGAGAAGTGGAAACTTTTCCATTGTATCTGAAAGTTCATGAACAATGGTCAAAGTAACTTTCTCAATTGTAATAACAATATAAGGTAAATTTCTTCTTTCTTTATTCACATGTGAATTTTGTTGCAGACTAATTGTAGATTCCTTTAATGAGTAGCTATCTAGCAACACAGCATCACAAGCTGGAGAAAGATCACAGAACACTTTCCACTTGAATAAGTTTCCAGGCTTGCTGACGAACTCAGGAACCCCATCAACAAAAGCAACAGCACTGTCATTCTTCTTGTTTACAAGGTAAAATGTATTTTTAGCCACAAGGTTGTGGGACTCCAGCTCAATATCTCCCTCATAACTTTCAGGCTTAGAAGAAAGAGTTCTCCAAAGTGCCCACCCATTATCATTTGTGCTGGAGATGTCAACAAAATCTGATCCTGGACGATAATTCAATCGCAATGGTTCCCCTAAATCATTCTTAGCATGCAACGAAATCAAGGAGAACCACAAAACAGACGACTTCCATCTCCTTTGAGTTTGATACTTCACCTAAACATAAGTTTGAACAGAGAACAAGGAATATGATAAAAATGGCCCCCGGCCAAGAAGGAAAGAACAACGAAATGGAAAGGAAAAAGAAAAGGATGTAAAATTAAGTTATTGATGCATTTGTGTCACAATAATCAATAAATAAGACATCCTCCAATAATGAATCTTTTAAAAAGATGTTGCTTAGAAAGCAATGACTATGCTAATTTTACATTTAAACTTCCATCTCCTCCATGCTTGGAAAGAGGGATTAAAGAATGTGACCTGTGAATGGATGCTCAGATAGCCATAAGACTTGAGAGCAATTGTGGAGTCAGAAGTAGATTCCAGACACGGATACTAAAAGGGCTCTTAGTGAAAACTGCCAGGAGATGTTATATTGGAATTGGGACCTGCAGGCTCATTAGAGAAGGGATTTTGTGAAGCGGGCTTTACAAGTATGGGAGAAGATCTCTTCTTAGGGTTCACATTATTCAAGGACCACCAGAATATCTGCTTAGCCTCCTCAACAGACTTGAGAGGGATGGAGATCCTTCACCCTATGAAGATTTCCTTTTGCTTTCTATGACCCTTTTACCAATAAAAGAAGGCACAGTAGACATAAAATATAAATAAAAGAGAAGAAAGGAGTACAAACCAACAAACTCATGTAGGGTTGACAACATAGTGCAGCAAGTGTAAAAACTGGAGAGTAAAATATACTTTAAAACCTCTGAGGAGCGGGATAAGTTCATAATCACTTTGACTGAGTTCACAAATGGATAAAATATTATTAACTTCATAAAAGATAGGGAGGTGGGGTGAGAGGAGGAACGGCAGGTAAAACACCATCGTTCAAAGTGCCTAATCCCAACAACAGAAATTTTAAAAATATATATATATTGTCTACTCAAGCTATCATGTGATCTTAGTCCTCACTAATTCAACAACTGTCCATGTATCACTCCTCCATTTTAGTGCCTTTCTTACATATACATGTCAAACTCTAACCCAGATCAATGCAATCACTTGATTACACAAATCAAAGGCATGCCCGTTAACAATTGACTTGACATATAGATGGTGGCCACCAAAGACCATAAATCAACAAGCTGTCAATCTGAAGAAAACAATATTCAAATAAAATATTTCCTTTGTGCACATACTTCTTTTGATAATATGTCAGCGTTCAAATGAAATTAGCTTACGGTTGATGCTGTCCCAAAAAGATGGTTGGATAAGAAGCAGGGGAGGAGCTACATTTCAATCACAATATGCAAAATAAATGCTGCAACCAGTAAATAGGAAAAAAGAAATGTAAGGCAAATTACAATATGCTTTGCAACCCATAAGGCACTTGGTGCAAGAAAAGAAGTTTATACATACGCAGGGAAAAAGTGCCTGAATATGTCCAAAATTAATAGATCATAAACATCATCGAGAAGCTCCTCCTTAAAGAAGCATTCTGTAAATCATTTATATTTACCTTAGCCTTTTACAGAACAGTGCATTACCATAATATTAAATTTTAAAATATAAGGGAAGCTTGCAAGCGGTAGCATGGAAACCACTTCAGAAACTGTCACCGTCTCATGGAACATAACAATATAAGGGCTTTCAGAACTCCAACTAACATAGCAACTCCGATTTTAAGTAAATATTTGAGGGTCTTCCCACTTCAAGTACATGTTATGAACAAACTATCATTCAAATTAGGGCAACTTTATTAAAAGAAATGTGGCTGGCCCCATCCATATGGGATAAAGGCAAGAATGATGATGATGATGATGATGATGATGATGATGATGATGGTATTAAAAGAAATGTGAGGTTATAGAAATTCCATACCCTAAAAAGAGCCTTTTCTCCAACAAGTGAATAATGAATTGCACCAACTAAACTGTACTTGTTTTCTACACCTTCAACAGTCATATACATATGTTGATGGACATCTTGGATTGCAACAATAGCTCCTAAGTAAGTCATGAAGTTATGCTAAATTAAATTTACTTCAAATTGCAATAAAGATATCTATACCACATTAGAAGACTGCCAACAAATAAAAATACCATCAGGAACTCCTTCTTCCAATCTTCCGTCAGATTCTTGGTTATTTGACCAGTTTCTTTGTTCCACATTGCCAGATGTCTCTTTGCTGAAAACCCCAGCCACGGATTCAATAGTAGATAAAAGCATCTGAAAAAATAAAACCAAGTTAAACCAAGTGACTTACACCTAAAGTAAAATTACAAAATGCCTTAACAAGTTATGCACATATGCATCTAACAATAATATGCAAACGCTAGTGGCATCAGACACCTTTTATGAAATTATGTTTCAATAACTTCATTAGATACAGAAGAAAACAAAACAAAAGGATGCATATACTTCTAATGATAATATATAAAAGCCTACTCAGTCACATACTCATGTCAGAGACACTGTATTGACTAAGTCATAACTTCATAAAGAACAGGAACATGCGATAAAACATTGCTCACCTGTATTTCAGGCAGAGAGATTGTCACATCAAAGCCTGTGATAGAACCACTGCCGACCCAATCATGATTTAAGCGCAGAGGACTGATCTCGTCTCCTGATACAGGTATCTGGACTGAAATGAAAGCACCTAACTGTTTCAAGATATAGTTTTTATGACTAAAATGCAAGAATTGAGGTATTGAATTATCCCCGAAAGATTCGTCCTGGGAAACAGGAGGGCTTGAGCAACTTGCATGGTCGAGAACTGGATGAATCCCATCTGTATGCTGATATTCTACCGTAGGATCCCCGCGTACAATGTGAGGAGACAAATCACTTGATGAGGCAGACGAAAAATGAGGACTTTGAGTTTCAGAAGTTCGCTGTTCGACAGATTTCTGAAGGATTTGAGAAAGAATTGACAAGCGAGAAAGACCAAACGAGAATTTTCTGTTCATGTTTGCCAAATCAAGGTTCAAATGAACATCAGCCACAAGCAGAAGTTCGCGAAGTAGGCCTGCATAAAAGTTGAAAATTTGAAGCATTTGGCATAATTTTATAACAAATAACAAAAGAGATGCCTATACCAGATTCATCTGCGGCCACAAGTATGAGAGAAAACTGAGAAACATCAATGGTGAACAATTCCAGCTGTTCCCATTGCACTTGTGGAAATGTATTTTGCGTTCCTTGGCTGGGCTGAGCATCCAGTATAACTACATCCTCCACAGTTTCAGCTATTATGTCTTTCTGAGTTGACGGTAAAACATGTAGAAGATTTCTGATGCAACGAGAGAATGAAGCACACCATTGAACAAACATCGCCAGCGCGGATATTTCAAGGAAAATAGTACCACCCTGTTCAATAGCATTCTGTGTCACTCTTATCGTACGTTTTGATTTTGGATCAACTAATAATCAAATACATAAAACCCCAACAGTATAGCCATATTTAATATATATGACAATGTAGAAGAGATGTTGGGAAGGTTGATCACAGGAGCAAGCATAAATTTGCAGCATTTACAAAATTAGAACCTGGATTTGACATGAGAATGTCTGAAATTCTCCCCCAACGATAATTGAGGACTCAAGATTATTCAAAATGTGTCCTTCAATCAGTGTATTCTTTAGAGAGCACCTGGCCATACAAATCTCACTAACTACAATCTTTACAATTAACTTGTGACTTGATGCCAGGGCCACGACATTTGGAGAAGAACCCAATTTCTGAAAAAAAATTAAAGACGGAATCCTTGACCTTTCAGTATCAATATCCAAAGGTGAATCTTCCAAGGTCGTTGAACAATTACCTCTGGAAGTAGAACCCTCGTCTGAATTACTCGCACTTCCTGAAGGCAAGGCATTATGAAGGTATCCAAACCAAAAAGTAAATGTGCAACGAGAAAGCGACACTTCACATAGGCAATTCAGAGAATGCTGCAGCAGACGTCTGAGTTCAAATTGATCAGAGGTTTTTCCAGTCTCACTCTGATTCCTGAAAATAACAGACCGAATTCCAGAGAAATCAGAGAAAGCTTCCACTTTCCCTCGTTCAAAAGAAAAGTTCAATGACGTTCGCAGAATAGAAACCCAAATTCCATACTCAGGCATACTGCACATGGCCAACTTTTTGCTACTTTCAACGTCAACAGGTATCGTAAAAGTTTCCATGTCATTGCTTTTCCTAGAATCATGAAGAATCATATCGATTGACTTAAACTCGAAACTGCCATTAATAGCAAACAGAGTTCTCATACAGATCAACGATGTCCCTTTTGCCATCATCACGAATGTCCCCTCACTTTCCGAATCAGCACACACCATCTCTTGCCTCGAAAATTCTTGAAAATTAACACCATCAAAAAATTCAAAACTAGTAAAAGCACATGACACTGCAGAAAGTATGCCAACCATCACCTGCCAATAAATAATTCCTTCACTCATAAGATGCATAAATTATTATCAATTTAACAGGCAGCGATCTACTGATCAACTAAAGATGCATAAGTATCTCAAGGAACCACATACATACAATCAAAACAATATAAGCAACATGGAATAACTTTCACGCTAACAACAAACTTTTCATTCCTTTGAAAAAGAAATTATTGGTATAGATAATAATAGAAAAATAGAAACCTATTTGTCATGCATATACCTATCAACGTATCAAACACCTCACACATACCAACTGTTAGTGGACCTCAATAAAAACCTCTCAAGCATCTTACTTGCCCTAAAACTGAATCAGCCCAAAAAGGCCAAAAAGCAGAATATGACCATGTGCCCCATTCTAAAATTCAGACGGAGATAAGTTACATACTGCACCTCACTGGAAGAAGGGAAGAAATATTAACACAGCGGGAACGTTGACATCCTAGAATCTTTTGTTTTTTTCTTTTGTAGTAGAGCATGCATCCTTCTTTCACTCATTGGAACTCAACCACAATTGCGGAAGTTTTTCACCATAAAACAAGATAAATCAACACAATCACCCAACCCATCCTCCAATAATTCAATCAGCACACTCTCTCTTTTATTGAGAAGTAAACATGAAAACACAAAGCTTCTGGTTCTCAATGAAACAATTACTCTATTTATGATTTAATCTAATGCATCTAATAACAATTAGCAATTTTTTTTTTTTTTTTTAATCATTTTGTGTTACTACACAAGTAGATAACAGTGACATGGTAATAAAAATCTAGGTAAGGAATGTAATATATTCATCATCAGTTCGCCTTATACTTTCAAATAGATGGATCACCTCCAAGATTTCAAGGATTTACAACATTTTCAAAATTTGCAAATAGATACTTTGTTCAATGCTTTCCAAAAAATTACTCAAACTTAACTCAACAAAGTCTTTTCCCAATTTTTTTGGGGTCGGTTACATGAATCCTATTCTTCCATTACGCTATATCTAAAGGTCATAGTCTCAATCAAACCGGATTTTATCATATCTATTCTACTAACTCTACCCACATTAATTTTGATCTTCTTCTTCCCCTAGCATTATCCTCAATGTGGATCATGTCATTCTTCTTTTCTTTGCACAAGCCATCTTAATCGATTTTCTTTTACCTCATCTCCAATGGGTGCTATTTCAACCATATCATAATGTCTTCATTTCTAATTCTATCCTTTCTTGTATTGTCGCACATAAATCTCAAAATCCGCACTTCTGCAACCTCACTTTATGCATATGTTGTTTTTTAATAGCCTAACATTCTGTCCCATAAAGTAAAACTAATATGGAACTTCCTTTCCAATCTTTGAGGGCTACACCGACCACCCAGTATACTAGACGAACTCTTCCATTTAACTCATCCTGCATTGATTCTTTAAATAACACTAAATAGTGAAAATATTCATTTTGGGGTATCTCTTGATACTCAATTTTCACTATATCCCTATTAGTATTTCTAGATTTACTAAACTTACACTCCATATATTAAGTTCTATTCCTACTTATATTAAATCCTTCTAGTTCTACCTATTCCCTCCAAACTCCCATTTAGCACTTACTCCTCCTCTAATTGAATTAAAATAATCTAATTGTGTCTTGTTTGTACAGACATAACTAAGCCAAAAAGAAATGGTCTTAATGCTGACACTTGATGTAAGCCAACAGAAATTGAAAATTCTCTAGTTTTTCCTTAGTTATTCTAGTTATAGTCAAATTTACAGCATACATGTCCTTTATCACACCAATATATCCATTTGTAGCTCATTTCTTTTCTAAGACTCGCCATATTAGATCTCTGACTACCCTACTATAGGCTTTCTTTAAATTAGTATAAAAAAATATATGATTTTTCTTCTTCAATCTTATATCATTCCATTAGTCTCCTCAATAAGTGACCTTCTCGACATAAATCCAAACTGATTTTTCAACATTTTTGTTTCAATCTTAGTCCATGTTCAATCACTCTAACCCAAAGTTTTATAGTATGATTCATTAATTTAATACCATGATAATAAGCACAAATCTGTATACCCTTTCTTTATATATATATAGGTACTAAAATATTTTTGGGTAAGTATTCTCTGAGTTGGTTAGCCAAGACACACCATCATCTCTTAAACACTTCAAAACCTCAACACGAATACCATCTAGTCTTAAAGCCCTTCCTTATTTCATCTTCTTTGGGACATTTTTGACTTCATACACCATAATCCTCTGAAAAATATGTTCTCCCTGAAGTTACCATGCTCCTCTAAGGATGAACTTCTTATATGATTTTTTCATTTAACAGTTTTTAAAATAATTTTTCAATAATTTTTCAATAATTTTTTTTTTTTTTTTTTTTTTTTTAAAGGTTTATCTATTTCTAGTATTTTGCCAACTGAAAAGGAAATTGAATTTCTTTAGAATAAATAAATAAAACAAAACTTACATCCAAAATTTTTTTTTTAACCATGGCCAGAATTGTTTCTCCGTCACAGAAATCATCTGAACAATAGTTCTTTTTCTTTTTTCCTTTGCTAAATAATAAAACAAGATATTCAAGATAATGTATGGGAATGGGAAGAATGAGCCACTCCTACAATCTACTACCCTCTTCCAACTTCAATACTTCTCCACATATCACAGTTCAAGGGGACTGACATTCCAAATATCACTATTGCAAGCACATCTTGTTGCAAGGGGATGGTTTAAAAGATTCCCATTACGCTCAGACATCAAATTTAGCTCTAATAGAATAAACTTGTGTGCTAAGAGTCATGCATAAGTTTCATATTGAACTGTCAATAGAGGAACTTAGGTTCCGTCATAATATCTAAAAGCTACATAAGAAGTTTTGGTGAAGGATGTTATTCTGAAATCTTACTGCATACATCCATTGTTTCAGGATTTAATTGTAATTGGATCATTAGATTGGAGAAAAGAAAATATGAAAATTTTATTTCATTGTAGTTTTTTTTTTTTTTCTCCATACAAGGAGAAATTTCATGTGAAAATAAGTGCGCTACATCAACTCTTTATATATATGAAAAGTTCAGTTTCTATTTGCCACATTACTTTTATTATCGAGGATCAACATTAAACAGTAAAACAACTAATGAATGAAACATATAAAACCCATGGTAACCAGTAAATACTGTACAAAGATACATAAATTTTTTGGTAGGTATAATAAGAGATATATTGCAAACAAGATATCTAAGTAGTGAAAATTAAATACATAAGAATGAATGAAGTTCTTATAAACAAAAGAAATACGAGGAAAAGTCATCTTATTTGCTGGAAAAGAATCAATTTATGAACTAGGGAAAAAAATGGAATAGAATCAATTTATGAAGTAGGGAAAAAATGGAATAGAATCAATTTATGTCATTTTAAATCCCCCCCTCTAGCAGCCTCATGGATTGTCATTTTCTTTCAAATACCACTTTCAAGCAATTCAAAAAAAAACTTTGTTTGAGATAATTGTACATGAATCTAAATGTTTAAGCACCAGTCACTCTAAAAAGCAATCCATCAAACCACTTGTGCACAATCCATCAAGCTCAATGAACCAGTTACAAGTACCTCATAAGACTATCTAGTACAGAAAATCAGATTGCTAGTGTCTTTAAGAGTTCAGCGATTCAATGTTTCATCTAAAAACATGAGAAAATATCACCAAACACAAACCAAGACTCAAATCTGATTAATGGGACATTCACCCACTTGAACTCCACCAATAAAGCAAGAGCGCAAGTTAAGAAACTCAACAACCAGAACATGCCCTCCGCAAAACCACTTTGGCTTCAAGTTGGACAATTGAATCGGGGGTCTCAATTGAGTTCGAGCAATCCATAGATAAGTGTAAATCAGAGGTTTCAACTAAGTTCGAGCAATTCATAGACGGGCGTAAATCTATAATCTGGACCCTAGTTTCCGAAAAGTGTGTGTATATGCATCACAGAAGTGTTGGTGACTGGCAATATCGGCGTTCTCATTGTTACCAGAGGTGGAGGAGGAGGGATGGCTAGCGGTGAAGCGTTGAGCAGAGAGGGGTTTCTAGAGAGAGAATGTGCGATGGAGAGAGTCGCGTAAAAGACATGCGGATATAAGGTTTATATAGGCTCCTATTTAAGTGCAAAGTAACTTGCTCAGTTGTCTCCCAATGTTTTGTGTAAAACATTTGAAAGCTATCTTTTTTTTGTTTTCAAATTTATACATGATGTTGTGGGTTGTTGTGGGTTTGTTTTGGACCAAAACAAAACAATATAACACACCCAAACAAGCTTTTGTTGTCAAAACCACTTTTCACAGCAAAACAAAACCACCCCAAACGAGGCCTTAATAAACTACAACAAATAACTACAAGTAAATTTCCAAATGATCGTTGAGTAAGGTGAATTAAAAGAGGATGAAGGGGCATGCCACTGTAATGAGTCATGGAATCAAACACTAGAAATTCATGTGTGCATTTGAGACTATTAAAATTATTATACTTTTAGATCAGAAAAAGTTTAATACAGCACTGGAATTTGAGACCTTGTTTAAACCCAATTCTTGTTCTAGTTTCAACCACCCACGTATTAATGCCACTTACATGCAGGAGGTTTAACACAAAGTGATGTTTAGAATCTTGCCTACAAATGATATAATTGTTCATTCGAGACACTGTTCACTACCCATTAGTGGTAAGCCAGGAATTTTAAACTGTTAGACCAGATATATTCATCCAATATGAAAAGTCACAGGATCTTCAAGTTAGGGCAATAGAATATCCTAAGGCAGAAAACTACCGGTAAGAGGGGAAACATTTCTCCAAGAGTCAAAGTCATTTTAGCTATATAAAGAAGTAGGACAGACATGGATGCTGATTCAGTACTTTGAACCACCATATATTACCCAAGGGTGGAAGCGAACAATACAGAAGGTTTTATTACCGAACAATTAACCAAGAATGTGCTCAAGATGTAACAAAAACTACAACAGATGTAATAGTGTAGCCCCAAAAGACATTAGGGAGAAGTGACCTCCAGGCATTCAATATGAAAAAAAGTAAAAACTAAAAGAAATTAAACAAGATAAAATGCATTAAAACCCCAAGGGGTTGGCCTAGTTGGAAAAGACTTGGGCCCTAATGCCTCATGAAGCATCAGGTCTCAGGATTGATTCTTGTTAGGTGCAAACAATTCCTTGGAGGGGGGTGTGTGAGTACCAACTAGGGAAAAAAAAGAAGATAAAATGCCTTAAACTATTTAGACAATAATAACAACCGGATGCAGAAATGGAAAGATAACAGAAACAACAGAATCTGACCTTAACCAAAACAAACAACTCATCCATATACAATAAAAAAGTGAGTCCAGTAGCCATCCCTTGCAAAGCTGCTGAGAAAGCAACGACTGCTGTACTAAATGAATAAAGATCCTGCCTGCCACATTTATAAAGTACCTTCACAATCAGGAAATATGGCACTTGGCGCCTGTGTGTGAGCATGTGTTTGTAGAGAGTTGGGGGGGAGAGAATTTCTCAAAAGAAAACAGAATCAAGTAAAAGTTCAGCCAGCATTTTTTTCAAATATAACAATTACAAGATTTGCACCACAAACAAAGAGTTCACAATCACAAACAAAAGTCTCATCTTTTGAGGGCTTACATGGTACTTGTTCGACAGCTGTATAGAAGTTATATTTCAGTATTTTTAAGCATAAAACAACATTATAGAAACAAAAATGTCATGCCTGAACATGAATTCCAAAGAAATATAAGGATTAAATGTAAGAGAAATTAATAAAGAAAAAGAATCAACGTCCATTTTCTTACTGAGAAAAGTGCTTAAATTTATAGTTAGATCATTTTCTACAAGAGACAAGCTTGTAAAAGGAAATAGGAAGTTAGAGAGCTTAGAGCATGGAGGATTTATATTCCTACTTTAGGCAATAAGACAACCACAATTTGAATAGTTTTTTGAACAAGAAAATTACATGATTTACATACACAACTTCTGCAAACAAATAACATAAAAAATAAATATTCACAGCAAAGAACTTAAGTTCAATATTTTACAGAGACAATCCAGGAAATATATGAAATTTCAAATATGAACATTATGAATAATAAATTTAAAACCAACAAAATTTAAAACCAACCAAAACATCAACACAGATGAAGAAAATCAACAAAATTTAAAACCAACCGAGCAGCTTAAGAGTCCGATGAGGTTCTTCATCGGGTTAAAACACGTATGCTTCAGAGGTTGTGATGCAAATGATGTGCTGGAAACATTTATAAATGAATAAATAAAAACTATAAGAGAAGAGGAAAACCATATTCAATTAAATTGCTATTTTCTAGGGGATTAAGTGTTTTTTTTCTTTTAAGTTCTATTGTTGTTTTATGGGGTTTTTTTCATTTCTTTTTTTAAGTTTTCCAAATTAGGGGTACTTTGATAATATTGCTCTTTAATTGTAGAGTCACTGCCAAAGAGGCTTTTGATTGTGGGCTTACTTATGTATGTTCTTTTTCCAGTAAGGACCTACTTATGTGTGTTGGATTAAAATGGATTAATAAAATCATTTTAGGTTTATTACTTGTGATGTACAGTGTATCTCTCCTTAGGTGCAAGTGCCTAAGAAACTGGGTGTGATTGCCTAGTCTTTTCTCTCCTATCTATTTTAATCTCTCTTCTTCTTCTTCAACCAACAAACAATTATCTCAGGCTCCCCATTCGTTATTTCAATTTTTTTATGCTCGAGTAAAGATCCTACATCAGATTTGGTATCACAGAGACAGGATAACGTCATTTTTTATTCACACAAAGATAACAATACAAGGGAAATTAACTGATTATCAGAGAAGAGTTACTACTACAATTGGTGGATCAATTCCATAGTCCAAACACCCGTTTAGAAGACCTATGATAAGATTGTAGATTTATCAATCTTCAGTAACACGGGAGCCAACAATGGAAGAAAGTCCCAGGAGACAGTACAGATGATGAAAAGATACTGAGCAAGATGGACACCAAGTGCACCAGCCACCCATTCTGGGGTTGATAGGCCACCAAACTACCAGACCCCTTCTTAGACTGAGATAGGATCAATGGATTTTGCTTGGGAGAGACTACTACAAGCATCGTGACACTATGGAAGTTATCAGAACGGGACCATTAATGGATTAGTTCAGTGCGGATTTGGCTAGACTCAAATCAGAATCTGATGCTAACACCGAGATCCAAGTTCGATGTACTTAAAACTGGGTTCAAATTGATTATAATAGGATCTTTCAATTCCACTTTGTATTTAAACTATCTGATATTATTTGGTAATATCATTGAATCTCAATTGGGTTGGAATTGACTCATGAACTGGAACATCGATAATCCTAAAAGAAGGTGAAGGTTGACATGTTGGACTTTGACAGTGCATCAACAGCCTTTGTCATTTCATTGTCTGTGAATGAGTGTCTTTATTGATCAAATATGTTACAGGAGGCAAGTTTGGTTAAGAAGAAGCTGGTGAGCCTTGCAAAAATGTGATACAAGAAGATTGGAAAAGCCCAACAGCTACACGGCAAGAGAAGAAACAAATATAACCAACGGGCCAGTGGCGTAGCGGTACCAGGCCCCTACTTCCCAAAGGAGGTAAGGGGTTCGAACCTCAATGGAGGCATGTGTGTGTGAGTACCAACTAGGAAAAAAAACAAAAAAGCAAATATATATAACCCTATTGAAATATCTGTATTATTATTATTTTTTTTTTATTAGCTGTTTTAAGTCTTTTATTAGGTGTTTTATGTAAGAACCCTATTTATCATGGGATCACGTAGATAAGATCCCCATAATAATGGGACCACGTAGATTTTGGCATATTTCGTGTTTTTCTTTGATTTGGTTTCCTTTCTTTGTACCCTATTCTTGTATATAAATATAGCTCTTGACTCTCGGTTTGTGTACGCCAAAACCCAAAAATTCTTCTTTTTGGTATCAGAGCAAAACAAAAACCTTCGCCTCCCCAACGCCATCACCTTCTCTCTCCCTCTCTCCATTTTCCCTCGCCACCGGCGCACCTCCATCTCCTCCCAACCCTTGCGCCAAACCCCTCAAGTAACCCTCTGTTTTTTACTCCTTTTTTAGGAGAATTCCCTTAGTTTTTTTTATGACCCAAGGGTCCTTCTGATGTTTTTTTCCTTTGTGGGCTGCTAGTGTTTATTCGGCAACATATTTGGAGGAAAGCGCCGATTTTTCCGGCCTTGTTTTTTTTTTCTCTTTCCTCCTGCTTTGACGTGTGAACCAGCCTTATTTTGGTACTATGACTGATTCTAATAGCCAAAAGGACACTTTATCCTTGATCCAGCATACTTTATCTTCGGCACAGCGGGTTACTAGTGTGCTCTTGAATGGGCGCAACTACATATCTTGGTCCCGTTCTCTTTTTTTTTTTCTGATAAGTAAAATCATATAAAAGCGCTTAGAAGGGGAGCAGAACCCAAAAGGAATACAAAAACCCACAAAGGGCCACTAAGCCTGCAAAGAGGCCAGAAAATCGACAATCTCCTCTAAAGATCTATGATCTCTCCCTTAAACCCAACAAAAAAAAATAGAAAGAATAGAAAAATTAAGCAAAGAAATCGACATCTCCTTTCCCTCAAAATATCTTCTATTCCTCTCAAGCCATAAGCACCACCACACACAGAGAGGAGTAGACCTCCAAGCATCCCGAATATGGCCCCCACTTGGCAACCTATCCAAGCCTCAAGAAACCCTCTAACGGTTCCTGGCATAACCCATAGCATCCCAAACAGCCCAATCATTAAGTCCCAGCAATCACGAGCCATGGTACAATGAATAAGAAGGTGATCCACTGTTTCCTCATCTCAAAGACACGTATAACATTGATTGACCACCACCTGGTTCCTCCTTCTCAAGTTATCCTGGGTTAAGATCCTTCCCAGAACAGAGGTCCACGCAAAGAAAGCCACCTTGAAAGGAGCCTTAGAGCGCCAAACAGACTTCTAAGGAAAGCAAACTCTAGGATCATCTGAGAGACACCTAAAGAAAGATCTCACCTCCAACCACCCCTGAGAGTTGGCAGTCCGAGTCCAACAATCAGACTCCTCAACCACAATCTTCTGGCGATACAGTAACTCCAAGGAACGAATGGCCTCCTCAATCTCCCAATCCTGAAACAATCGCCTAAATCGAACATCCTAGTCTTCCACTATCAAGGTGATAACAGTTAACCACCAAGGCCTACCTATCTGAAGCAATTCTGTAAAGCTGAGGAAAAGCACGAGCCAGAGGAACATCCCCACACCAAACATCCTCCCAAAAACTAATCCTCCTCCCATCTCTGAGTCGAAAACGAACATGTTTGGAGAAGAGATCCCACCCCTTCTGAATAAAATTCCAAACCCCCACCCCCCGAGACCCCCCCTCACTTCCAAAGAGCTCCAACCACCTCTTAACTCCCCAAACCGGCTCGCCACGACCCGCCTCCAAAGCCAGTGCCTCTCCACACCAAACCTCCATAACCATTTCCCAAGGAGGGCCTTATTGAAAGGCATCAGTCTACAAAGACCAAAACCTCCAAATCGAATTGGCTTACAAACCTGCTCCCAATGAACAAGATGAAACTTAAACTCTCCCTCCCCCCCCCCCCCCACCCTAAAAAAAGAAAATTCCGCTACAATCTCTCAATCCTCTCCGCAACAGAAGAGGGAATCTGAAAAGGAGAGATAAAATAAGTGGGAAGGCATGACAAGGTGCTCTTGATCAAAGTGACCCGGCCTCCCTTGGAGAGATACTGCTTCTTCCACCCCGCCAATCTCCTCTCAAACCTATCCACCACTAGGTCCCAAACCCCCACACACCTCGAAGGAGCTGCCAACAACCCAAGGTAAGAGATGGGAAAGAGCCCGTGCGACAACCAAGAATGGCAGCAAAAATTTCTAACTCAGGGACCTCCCCCACCGGCACTAAAACACTATTACCAACATTCACCCTCAGACCAGAAACAACTTGGAACCAAATCAAAACGCATCTCAAATATCTAAACTGGGACACATTCGCATCACAAAGAATCAAAGTGTCATCAGCAAACATCAAATGAGAAATCTCCAACTGGGAGTCAACATCCCTTCCTACCCAGAAGAGCCTCTCAAAAAGCCCAACTCAATCGCCCTTGTCAACAATCTGCTAAGGGCTTCCATCACAAACAAAAACAGGAAGGGAGAGAGCGGATCCCCCTATCTTAAGCCTCTCGAGCTAGAGAAAAAAACCGGAAGGAGCTCCATTCACAAGAATCGAAAAACAAGCACTGGAAATGCAAAAGAAAATCCATCGCCTCCACCTATCACCAAACCCCATCCTCTCCATAAGGTAAAGAAGGAAACTCCAACTCACATGGTCATAAGCCTTCTCTATGTCAAGCTT